AGAGCTCACAGAGTGGGGTGGGGATGAGGGTAGCGGTGGGGAGGTCACTGGATCAACCCATAGAGGTTGTTAGCGGCACCAAGGTGAGTCTGAAATCATAACCAAAGTCAGGCAGATGTGCAGCCAGTTCATTAACCAAAGTACTCCTCAGAGAAAGATGTAGTTTCAAGACCTCAGGACTAAAATAAGGGATTCCAGATCCAAGTGAGAGAGTTTTAAAGGCTGGACTTGGGCTTCAAGAAGGCAGTCTGGGAAACTCCCTGGGTGTATGGGTTTAATAGTGAGAAGGAGCTGAGGAGGTGAGGAATCAGGTGAAAAGGACACCAAGTTAAAGCTCCAGATTTATTCTTGGGAGACTGGCAACCACAGGAAGGTCTCAGTGAAGAAAGGGGCATGATTGGGTTTGCATTCTAGAAAGATCACTCTGGGGCCTGGCTGGTGTGGCTAAGTGGTTGGACATCAACCTATGAACCAGGTGGATCCATTCCTAGTCAGGGCACTTGCCCGGGCTTTGGGCTTGATTCCTGGTGGGGTATGTGCAGGAGGCGGCCGATCGATGATTCTCTCTTATCATTGATGTTTCAATTTCTCTCTCCCTTCCTCTCTGAAATCAATAAAAATATTTTTAAAAAAAATCACTCTGACTGAAGTATGGAGGATAAATTGTAGGGGTCATTAGGCTACTGAGTACCTGAATGAATTCAGTAACAATGGTGATAGAAATGAAAGGCATTAAAGAGGCAGAATCCATTGAATGTAATGATAATTGAATGTGGAATGACTCATGATGGTAAAGGAGATGTCAAGAATGACTTCCAGGCCCAGCCAGTGTGGCTCAATAGTTGACCATTGACCCATGAACCAGGAGGTCACAGTTCAATTCTCGGTCAGGGCACATGCCCAGGTTGCAGTTTCAATCCCTGATTGGGGTGTGTATGGGAGGCAACTGATCGATGTTTCTTTCTCACATTGATATTTCTCTCTCCCTTCTTTTCTCTCTAAAAATTTTTTAAAAAAATAATAATGTTATTAACAAAAAGAATAACTTCCAGATTTACTGACCTGGAGACCAGAGAACTTAATTCAGACTCCCACTTTGCCATTATTATCAAGCTGTCTAATCCTGGGTCATCATACCCTTTTAGGCCTCAGTAGAAACTGATCTGGAGTAGTGGTTTTCTAATTACAGTCCTCAGGGCCATCCTGCTGGGTGGCTGGGCCTCAGGAAAAGAGCCCTAGGCTGGAGTCAGAAAGTCTGGCTTGTGTCCTGGCTCTGCCTGTGACATAAGGCAAGACACAGTATTTCCAAACCTGGGTCTTCTTTTGTACAAATGGCGATAATTATTTATTTATTCAAGAAATAAAGATTACCAAAATGAAATTGGGCCCTAGCTGGTTTGGTTCAGTGAGTAGAGTCAGCCCAAAGACTGAAGGGTCCTGGGTTCAATTCTGGTCAAGGGCATGTACCTTGGTTGCAGGCACAATCCTTGCAGGCCTGATATGTGCAGGAGGCAACCAATGGATGTGTCTCTATCACATTGATGTTTCTCTCTGTCTCTCCCGCTCCCTGTCTCTCCCCTCCTTTTCACTGTCTCTAAAAAAAAAAAAAAAAAAAAAAAAAAAAAAAAAAAAAATCAATGGAAAATATCCTCAGATTAGGATCAGGAAAGAAGAAGAAGGAGGAGAAGGAGAAGGAGGAGGAAGAGGAGGAGGAGGAGGAGGAGGAGGAGAAGAAGAAGAAGAAGAAAATTGGTCTGTGCCTCATGGAGCTCACAGCCTAGAAGGAGAAAGAGACATAAAAATAAATAATTACAAAGAAGTTTGCTAAGTGCCATCATGATGTAAAATGTACACAGAGGGAAGAACCAACAAGGGCAGGGGCTGCAGGGGCTGCATCTCGGGTTAGGACAGTGGTTCTCAACCTTCCTAATGCCGAAACCCTTTAATACAGTTCCTCATGTTGTGGTGACCCCCAATTTCATTGTTACAAATTGAACATAATTAAAGCATAGTGATTAATCACAAAAACAATATGTAATTATATATGTGTTTTCCGATGGTCTTAGGCGACCCCTGTGAAAGGGTCATTCGACCCCCAAAGGGGTGGCAACCCACAGGTTGAGAACTGCTGGGATAGGACAAGTTGATATCCAGGTAGATCAAGGAAAATGTGCTATGAATTGAGAAAAAAAGGCTCAGACTTCTCTTGTCTATCCCCTCCTCCCACCTTTTTTTGTTGTTGTTGTTCTTCCAAAACTCCATTCTGCCTTCTAAATGGCAGTTCTCTTTCTCACCTGCAGGTGAGATGCTGAGGGATTCTTCAGTAAGCAAGACTTGGGGTCAATTTCCTATTATTAACACCCCGCCAACAAAGAAATCAGCCAGGCCAGCATCAAGGGGCAGATGACCAATGGTGGACACCCAGGCATCAGAGACAGGCCTCCTCCACCTCAGTAAGCTAATATTGACATGTGTAGATGATGTGCTGCAGGTTCTGGAGAGCCGCTACTGCCTTTAGTTCATAGTTGTATCCCCAGTGCCTTACTCCATGCCTGGCACGTGGTGGGTGACTCATGATTGCGTGTTGAATGAATAATCTCCATAGAATCTTTCGGTCTCAAAGGGTCATTGTCTCCTTTACTTCCCAGCCTCCAGGCAGGACTGCATCTCAACCACCACACCTGGGGGCTGTTCAGACTAACAGATTTCATGGCACCCACCCAAGAAGTAGGCAGAGAGGTAGTAACACCTCATATTTTTTAACTCTCTCTTATTCAACAAGTACATATTGAGTGCCTCCTCTGTGCCAGTCTGGACAGAGGGATGAATATGACCTCAAAAATGTCATGGACTAGTTGCAGGACAGATATTGCTCTCCCAATGGCCACCCAGTAGAGGCACAAGGAGGAAGGGACTGGCTCTACTGCAGGATGTGTGTGGGAGATGTATCTTGAATGATGAATAGGTCCCCTAGAGGAGGGTAGGCTGGAGGGGCTAGGGGAGAGTAGGGTAGCTGGGGCAAGGGTGTTTGAGATGGGAGAGACCCACACATGTAGTGTCTGCAGATCCGCAATGAGATAAAGAACTCTCCCCAGCACTGCTTCCTTCACCGAGGAAGGCTTGTTATAAGCGAACTGTCCTCTGGACTAAACTGTGTTTAGCGACCATTGATTTACGTCTGGCGCACGCTCCTCTGTGGAATTAGTAACAAATGGTCTGTAGACAGGCAGCTGGTCTACAGACCACACCACGGTTTTACAGTTTACCCAATGCTTTCACACAAGTTCACGGGGTTTTTGTCCCTCAGAAAACTTCCATGAGGTTGGCAGGGCGAGTATCAAAATACTTATTTTTCAGGATAGAAGTTGAAACTCAGAGAGGTTAAGGTTGACATCACACCGCAAGTGAGCAGTGAGGTTGGACCTGGAGCCGGAGTCCTCTCCCCACCGTCCACCCTCCCAGGCTGTGTGGGAGCGCCCCTGACTCTGAGGGGATGGCTCCACGGCCAGCAGCAGGTCCCCAGGGACAAATGCCAGGGAGAGAGTCTAGAATAAGTGGATGAAGTGGATGACCTCATATGGCATTTCTCATGTTCCCCTGTCTCATGTTACTGTCAGGTCATAAATAGAGGCAAGATGACTCTTCCTTTCCATCCACCTCCCCCCCCCCACCCCAGCCACCCCACCTGCCATTCCAGGAAGCTCCCTCCAGCTCAGCTCTGCTGGACATTGCACTACCTGAAAGGGGTTGACATCGCCCCTCGGGGAGATGATCTCATAGATACAACAAGCTTCTGCTGCATAGAGGCTTAACTGCTCACAAATGCCATTCTGGGCATGTTGCGGTTACCTGGCCAGGTGGGCATGGCACTGTGGTCAGCTGTCCTGTCCTTGGGGCACAGCAATCTGGGCACGGCCTTTTTATTTTTCAAGTGAAGAAGCCAAGAGCAGGTTGAGACAGCTACGGGTCAGGGCCAGGAGCGAAGGGAGCCTCCAGGCCCCAGGAACCTTAAGTCTGCAGTAATGGTCTGACCACTCCTCCAACCGTCAGGCTAGCGGAGAAGGTCCCAGGGCCCAGGCCTGTGCTCCCACAGCCATCTCACAGTGGGGACATTCTTTGAAACTGGAGCGAATTGCCTTCTGAGAGTCCATGGCTCTAACACCCAGCCTCCTGGGACAGTCACGTGACCTGTTCTGGAGGGGTTCCCGCTGGGAGAGGGGCTCAGGCAGGGCTACTTCCACCTGCAGACCCTCTGCTGGGAAGCAATGTGGGTCCCCAGCCTTTTAGCAGTTGATTCTGGGGCACCAAGGAGAATAAAGAGGGAAACAATTGTCCTTCCTTCACCTTGGCCTGACGTCCCATATTCTGAAATAGCACCGTGTGGAGCAGGGAGAGAATGGCATTCAGGAAGTTGTCCTTATTCCAGTAGCTACTCTGCTTGGATCCAGGGTGACTCCCTTAAACTCCCTGAGCCTCTGCTTTCTGCTCTATAAAGCGGGGATGCTGTTAATTGTCATGGCTGCCTCGGGAAGAGGAGATAATCCCAACCAATGCCCAAAGGCCTGGGGAGGCATCAGACTCCAGCTGTCCCCCTCCCTGGCCACAGTGCCTGCGGTGTTATTTACTTCTCTATCCTGTTTACTTAGATCCATTGGCCAAATACATTTTTATTTTTTCTTTCCCTCTTGTCTTTAGAGCAACCTTAAAAGATCCTCCCATACTGATAAGTTGCTTTTTTTTTTCCCCCCCGAATAACTTTTATTATCTTTGTGGAGAAAATACCAATGCAAGTGATACATTTTGAAATTATAAAACATGCAGGATATGTACAAACACAAAGTTTAAAAAATATTTGCTTCATATACATGTAAATCTACTTGGGTATAGCTGAAGTTAAACAAATATAAAAATTTGTTTTCTAAAAAATGTTTTCAGAGAATCTGAGACAACTTAAAGCTGTACAAACATTTCCTGGGATAAATCTTCTCTTCACACAGAAGCTTTAACGTACAGGAGCAATTCCAGTATCAGTCCACCACATAATTATGACACATTTGGTCTAATCAACGATCACCCTTAAAACTGTTCTGTTTCTGAGAAATTAAGGTTCGTTCGTACTAAAATCAAAAAGAATTCACAAATTTAGTGGCTTATTGTGTTTTTGGATCTCTTCAACAATCTTTATCAACTCATTTAGAACTGTAAAAAAAAACAAAAACTATTTACAGAATTCAGTTTTAAATACATTTGACAACTTCAAGAATTTTATGTTACAAGGATTCAGACCACATGGCTTTAGTCCAATTATCAATCTGTAGTCTCTTCTAGCATCTTGTCTTCCCATGACTGCACCTTACTGTGTACAGTTCAAGATTGTATTCTTTCTTGACCAAAAGTAACTCAAACTACATGTTCATTTCAACTAAACAGCTTCTTTATTAGTCTGAAGATGAGTCATAGCTTCTAATTTCTGTCTGTAGGCTTCTGCTTCCTGTTCTTTCTTTAGAAGCTGCTGTCCATATTTTGGGGCTTCTTGGTTTGCTTCATCCAGCTGTTTCTGAAGAGCTCCTCTCTCTTCTATTTCTGCAGATTCCACCCGGTTTTCAATTATTTCGATACCTTGTCTCTTAGCTGGTGGTTCTTCACTTATAACAGTTTCTTCAGCAATGTCCGTTGCTGGTAATGTTAATACTTGCTGTCCATCTGGCATGATCACAATGATGGGCTGGCCTATTCCACTGTTTGGAAAGGAGTGCAAATTTCCAAGCTGGATTCCATCTGTTACTATTGTGATGACTTGCTGACCCCCTGAACTAACTACTTGCTGAATTGCACCATCCACTGATTCTGCAGTAACTACTTCCTCCGTAGCCACTACTGGAGTTTCTGAAGAATTGGACAAGGGAGCAGAAGCTTCAGCTAAGGCAGCTAATGCAGCTAATACTGATGTAGAGGAGTTTCCAAACTGAACAGCGGACACACCTGTTTCATCTGTTGCCTTGGATGAATTTTCTGAAGATGCCAGACCTGTTAGGTTCACCACCCCTCCAGGTCCAATGATAAACTGTGGTGTTGCAGCATGTATCGCCACAGTGTCGGGACTCTCTAGGTTTGTGTTAATTTGATTCTGCATAGCAATCTGTAATATCTCTGCTAAATCTTTATTCCCATTGTCTACTGAAATATCAAATGCAGTTTTACAAAACTTACTCTGCGTGTGTACATCAGCACCATATTTGATTAAAAGCTCCACCACATCTTGATGGTTGTGTTCTGTGGCCCAATGTAAAGCTGTCATCTTTAACATGTCCTTTGCATTGACATCAGCACCATGCTGAAGCAAAACCTCTACTATGCCGGCATGGCCCTCAGAAGCTGCCACATGTAAGGGCGTTCGGTCCACTTTGGTTCTGGCATTCCTACTTACACCAGCTCGAAGTAGTACCTCTGTGGTGGAATAATGCCCGTACTGTGCTGCCAGGTGAAGTGGAGAAGTTCCCAGCCAGTCTGTAGTAAAAGGAGCTCCATTTGCCACCAAAATACGAACTTCATCATCTTGACCTGCTCGTGCCGCTTCTAAAAGCTTCTTTCCCAAATCTACCAGGGACATCTGGAAAAGCTTTGGGAGCAGCGGCGGCGGGGGGAATGGTGGGAGGGGTGCAGGACCCGAGGTGCTCCGAACCCAGAATGCCGTGTCTGGTGGGCGCCCAAAATCCCCAACGAAAAGTCCCCCGTGTGCGCGCGGAGGGACACACCATGTGCGAGTGAGTCTGCATCCCAGCATCCCTCCCCTTATACCAGATGATTTTAATCCTATCAATTTCTATTCCAAAGGTTAGGGCATTTCTTATCTCCATTCCAGGGAGTAAAGATTATGTAGCTTAAGCGTGATTGTTCGTAGTTAAAGTGATTAACTACCCGCCTGGCACTTAGTTAAGGGTTTTTTTTGTTTTTTGTTTTTTGTTTTTAAGTGGGCTTTTATTTATTTTTAATTTTTTTATTATTAAATCTTTTTAAAAAATATATTTTATTGATTTTTTTACAGAGAGGAAGGGAGAGAGATAGAGAGTTAGAAACATCGATCAGCTGCCTCCTGCACATCTCCTACTGGGGATGTGCCCGCAACCCACGTACATGCCCTTGACAGGAATTGAACCTGGGACCCTTCAGTCCGCAGGCCGATGCTCTATCCACTGAGCCAAACCGGTTTCGGCTTAAATCTTTATTGTTCAGATTATTACATTTGTTCCTCTTTTTTCCCCCCATAACTCCCCTCCACCCAGTTCCCACCCCACCCTCCGCCCTCACTCCCCACCCACTGTCCTCATTCATAGGTGCGAGATTTTTGTCCAGTCTCTTCCCCCATCCCCCACACCCCTTTCCTCCCCAAGAATAGTCAGTCCATTCCCTTTCTATGCCCCTGATTCTATTATAATCACCAGTTCATTCTGTTCATCAGATTATTTATTCACTTAATTTTTAGATTCACTTGTTGGTAGATGTGTACTTGTTGTTCATAATTTCTATCTTTACCTTTTGCTTCTTCCTCCTCTTCTTAAAGCATACCTTTCAGCATTACATATAATACTGGTTTGGTGGTGATGAACTCCTTTAGCTTTTTCTTATCTGTGAAGCTCTTTATCTGACCTTCAATTCAGAATGATAGCTTTGCTGGATAAAGTAATCTTGGTTGTAGGTTCTTGGCATTCATCACTTTGAATATTTCTTGCCACGCCCTTCTGGCCTGCAAAGTTTCTGTTGAGAAATCAGCTGACAGTCTATGGGTACTCCCTTGTAGGTAATTGACTGTCTTTCTCTTGCTGCTTTTAAGAGTCTCTCTTTGTCTTTTGCTCTTGGCATTTTAATTATGATGTGTCTTGGTGTGGTCCTCTTTGGATTCCTTTTGTTTGGGGTTCTATGCACTTCCTGGACTTGTAAGTCTATTTCTTTCACCAGGTAGGGGAAGTTTTCTGTCATTATTTCTTCAAATAGTTTTTCAATATCTTGCTCTCTCTCTTCTTCTGGCACCCCTATAATTCTGATGTTGGTACGCTTGAAGCTGTCCCAGAGGCTCCTTACACTATCTTCGTATTTTTGGATTCTTTTTTCATTTTGCTATTCCGGTTGTATGTTTTTTGCTTCTTCGTATTTCAAATCGTTGACTTGATTCTTGCGATCCTCTAGTCTGCTGTTGGGAGTCTATATAATATCCTTTATTTCAGTCAGTGTATGCTTAATTTCCAGTTGGTCCTTTATCATAACCTCGAGGGTCTGACTAGATTTCTTGAATATCTCACTACATTTATCGGCGGTCTCACCAGTCTTTTCGAGGGTCTTACTAAATTTATCGGTGGCTTCTAGAAAGTTCTTGAAAAACCTTCAAAGTGTGGTTTTGAACTCTATATCCAGCAGTTTTCTTTCCTCCATTTCTGTCATTTGTGTCCTGTTTCTTTGTCTCCGCATTTTTTATGCTTCCCTGTGTTGATAAAGTGGTTTTCTGTGCTAAGTGTCCTCTTGGGCCCAGTGGTTCAGTCTCCCCAATTACCTGAGGAGGACACTCTTGGTGCACCCCCTTGTGGTCTTTGTGCACAGTGTTGTTGTAGTTAAGCCTTGATTGTTGTAGGTAACACTGGGGATTGACCTCCAGGCCAATTGGCTGTGAGAATCAGCTGTGTCTGCAGTGGGAGAACTTCTGTCCTGGATCTCTAGGGAGTTGCTAATCTAGCCTCTGCCTGAGGCTATCCAGCAAACGCCTCTGTGCAAGGCTTGGGTGGGGCGGGTCCCAGGGGATCAACAGGGTGGGCGGAGCGAACGAGCAGTATGGCTGCTCTCAGTTCTGCCTTCAGAGGCCCCGCTTCTCAGTGTCCCAGCAATTGCTGCAAGTACCTCCGAGAGAAAGCTGCCCTCGAGTTCCGACCGATGCCAGACAGTCCCGCTTCTCCCATATGAGTCTGGGTCCCCAGAGACTTGCCCGGAACTGGAGCTCAGAGCCTGAGACTCCCTCCCGATTGAAAAAGACAACCGCGCCCTCAGCCGCCAGCCTGCTCCACGTGTGCCTCTGTACCTTAGTATTTTACTTCCGCACCGCACCTCCTCTGAGTCTCGGTATGCTTTTCTCTTTCCTTCTAGTTGTAGAATTTCCACTCAGCCAGCCTTCCTGTGGTTCTGGATGATGTCCGTTCCGTCTTTTAGTTGTATTTTTGAAGTGGTTGTGCAAGGCAGCAAACTCCAGTGTTTACCTATGCAGCCATCTTGGTTTCTCCTCGATAAGTTGCTTTTTAAAAAATATATATATTTTATTCATTTTTTACAGAGAGGAAGGGAGAGGGATAGGGAGTTAGAAACATTGATGAGATAGAAACATCAATCAGCTGCCTCCTGCACACCCCCTACTGGGGATGTGCCCGAAACCAAGGTACATGCCCTTGACCAGAATCGAACCCGGGACCCTTGAGTCCGCAGGCCAATACTCTACCCACTGAGCCAAACTGGTTAGGGCGTTGCTTTTTTTAAAAGTGAATTTATTGAGGTGACACTGGTTAACAAAATTACACAAATTTCAGGTGCACAATTCTACAACACTTCATCTGTACACTGTCCTGTGTGTTCTCCACCCCACTATCTTTGTCCAACTGTGAGCGTCTCCAAGTCAGAGTCCTCACCTTATTTGTATTCACAGGAGTCACAGAATGATGGATATTTCCTCCCAAAAGAACCCCCACGATGGCAAAATATTTCTTTTATTTGTTTTTTAATCCTCACCTGAGGATATTTTTTCCATTGCTTTTCAGAGACAGTAGTAGGGAGGGAGGGAGAGAAACATTGATATGAGAGAGAGACACACACATCAACTGGTTGTCTCCCACATGTGTCCCTACCTGGGGTAGGAGTGAACGCAAAGTCCAGGTACTCGCCCTTGACCAGGAATTGAACCCAGGACCCTTTGAAGCTCAGGTCAGGTTTTATCATGCTGACCTGCACTTATTTCTCTGAAGAGCCCTTTCCCCAGTGAATTTTTTTTAATAGAGAGAAAGGGAGGGATAGAAATATTGATGTGAGAGAGAAACATCGACCCGCTGCCTCCTGCACGCCCTCTATGGGGATGAAGCCTGAAACCTAGGTATGTGCTCTGACCAGGAAACAAACCAGCAACCCTTCGGTGCACAGGATGATGCCCAACCAACTGAGCCACACCGGCCAGGGCCACAGTGAACTTCTTGAGGTCAGAGTCGGTGGTTTAGTCACTTCTTTACCCCCAGGACCCAACACAGTGCCTGGAACAAGGCAGGTGTTCTATAAACACTTGTTGAATGGAGTTAAAGTCATTTTTAAAACAGGGGAGAAGGAAACCAGAAGAGAATGAAGGCCATAAGATAATGGAGATTAATTCAGCCTGACAGTCAGGAGTCCTTGGTCCACCAGCTCTAACAGCAACTCTGTGTGAACATGACGAGTCACCTCCCCTGCCAGGCCTCAGTTTCCTCCTCGGCGGATTGGAGAGGGTGGACTAAACAACGCCTAAGGTCTTTCTAGTAATACGTCCCCGTAGCTGAGTTGGACCCCACAGAGGAGGAGTGGCCATAGCCCACCCCACTGCGGTCTCATGGGCCCTCTTGAGGCTGCAGTACTGGACCAGATGGTCTGTCAGCAAAACCAGGGTGGCTGCTCCTAAGTCTGTCCCCTATCGTCTCCCATGGACAAATGCAGAATGGGAAGGTTTCTCACGCTCACCTGGCACCTGCCAGAAGTCTCATGCAGGACAGGCCAGCCGGAGACAGGAGGAGTGTGAGAAGACATTCTCTAGGTCCTCTTCCCCTGACGTGCCCCGGCCAGCCTGCTCTCTCTCTCCCGCTACTCCAAGCACAGAACTGACTTTCCTGTTGAAGAAAACAGCATTGTCTCTCTGGCCAGCACAATGCTTGTCTCAGCGAGCGTGGGGAGAAAGCCAGTCCCCTCACCTCATTTGGCTGAGGGGGGCTCCTCTTTGCAGACACCCATCTCTCTGTCACCCAGGCATCTGGACATTCTCATAGAGGCGTCCAGGGGAAGGAGTGGACACAGATTCACCCTTGGCTGATGGGAGGCAGGGACCTGTACTCCCTGCGAGAGCATCTGCCTCCAAAAGGCTCTGTGGAAGCCAAGAAGTGTGGGCATGAGAGCAACAAGGGGCAGTGTAACATGCAGCCAGCGCCCCTCTTTTTATGGATGAAGGGCCCAGAGAGGGCCGGAGGTTCTCCTGGGGCCACATCATTGATGTCCAGGGTGGGGGGGATGGGATTTACTGTCACAATGGGACGTGGGCCCCATGGACTGATTTCATTATTGAATCACACAACCAGCTTTCTAGGCTTTTCTCATCACACGTCCCGGGTGCAGTGAGCCCACCAGCCACCCAGCAGTCCCCGGCCAGCTTTCGTCCAAAACACTGAAGTCGGCTGGGGAAGCATTTGGATTCAATTATATATTTACAGCTCCAGAGGTGGGAGGCGGGAGAGGAGGCAGCCGGGGTTGTTTTTGTGGATTATGTAGGAACTGACCTAAATTTTATGTCAGGGAGGGAGAGAGAGAGAGAGAGAGAGAGAGAGAGAGAGAGAGAGAGAGAGAGAGAGAGAGAGAGAAGAGAACTGCGGAAGGTTG